AATTCAGCATGTCTGAAACTTGCATTTTTAATTTTCTCTCTGCTTTCTGTCCTTCCAAGTCTGCCTTGCTTCAAAAAGTACCACTGCCACTCACTTGCTCAAGGTATAACCATAGGAATAATACTTGATTCAGAGTTTCTTTTTGTGTAAAGTTTACAAAATTCCAAGTTTTGTAATTTCTTAGCTTGTAATATCTCCTTTAAGTAATCCATTTTTGGGGGCGGGGGTGATCCACACTAGCCAAAGGCACCAGTCTCTTATTTTGTTCACTTTAATGTTTTCCTAATGGATCTCTGTTCTTTTTATATTCCTGCAAGTTGTTTTTATTTTTCTCTCCATTGTAAATCCTTTCTTTACAGAATGGAGTACTGTTTTTAAAATTAAAAAAAAAAAAAGTAAATCAGATCACTTTACTTCCTTGTTTAAGTTTATTCGGTTGCTTTGGTTTGCTCTCAGCTTCAAACCCTGTCTACCACTCTGAGCTTAATTTTTCTTTTAATATGTTCTGGACATATTTGTCTTTTTTGCTCTATAGATACATTACATATATTATTGCCTTAATGTTCCATTGCTTTTCTCTTTTTTTCTTGAAGACTGTCACCATACATATTGAATACTTACTTATTGTCAGGTTTCAGAGCAGATGTTATAAACATATAGAGATCTTCCTTCATCTATAAATCTAAACTAATTACTACTCCTTGTTCTAACATAGTCATAGTCATTTTGCATTGTTTAGTTTTTACATAAACACCATTGTATTTACTGGTGCTTTTTTATTTGTTAATTTTACATAATTTCCTAAAAGTTAAGCTTTGTGAAAATAGAAACTTTTTTCTTTTTCTTTTTTAAAAATAATTTAGACTTTGTACAGTTACAAAGTTATTCATGATTGAATTTTAGACATTCAGTGTTCAACATCAATCCTTTCACCAGTGCCTACTTCCTCCACCAGTGCCACCTCCCCCAACCAGTTTACCTTCCATCCAGCAGTATGCCTCTACAAGAAGCGCTGCTTTTTTTTTTTTTAAGTAAGTTTGTGCACCATGATTTACTGTTGCTAATAGGGTTTCAAATATAATCCTTTACCACATTTCAGCACCTTTCTCCTTCTCCTGGTTGTACACTTTACTTTTCTTCCCCCAGACCAACCAAGTGGCATATTACCTCTTGAATACCAGTTCTCATGTTTCCATTGTCTTTGGACATTTGTTACTCCATTATTACCTTTTTTTTTTTTATTCCGCACAGTGGGTAGGGTTGCACACAGCTGACCTGGGTTTGATTCCTCCATCCCTCTCGGAGAACCCGGCAAGCTACCGAGACTATCCCGCCCACACAGCAGAGCCTGGCAAGCTCCCCGAGATGTATTCAATATGCCAAAAACAGTAAAAACAAATCTCACAATGGAGATGTTACTGGTGCCCACTCGAGCAAATTGATGAACAATGGAGGACAGTGCTATATTCTGCATATGAGAGAGATCATTCTGTGTAGGTCTCTCCTTCTGATTAAGTTCACTCAGCATGACACCCTTCTAGGTCCCTCCTAGAAGCAAATTGCATGGTTTTATTTTTTCTTGTGGCCAAGTACTATTCTTTTGTATATGTAACGTATTTTCTTTTTTCAGTCATTTATTCTTGGACACTTGAGTTGATTCCAGATATTGACTATTGTGAATAGAGTTGAAAGGAGTATAGGGGTGCAGATGTCTTTTTCTCCATTTTGTTTATGGACCTTTGGGCTATATTCCAAGAAGTAGAATTTCTGGGTCAAATGCAAGCTCAATTCCTAGTTTTTAGGAATGACCATATTGTTTTCCAGAAAGGCCAGACCAGTTGACATTCCCACCAGCCATGGATGAAATTCCTTTTTTCCCCACATCCACACCAGTACTTGTTCTTATTCTTCTTGATATGTGCCCATCTCTGTAGTGTTAGGTGATATCTTCTTGTTTTGAATTACATCTCCCTGATAATAGTGACAAAGAGCATTTTTTCCTATGCCTTTTGGCCATTTGTATTTTTTTTGAGGCAGTTTTGTTCATTTCTAGTCTATGTTTTGTGATGAAGTTGGATGTTCTTTTCTTGTAAAGTTCTTCCAGTGCCTTATATATCTTTGATATTAACCTCTCATCAGATGAGTGGCAGACAAATAATTCATCCCAGTCTGTGGTGTTCATTGTATTCTGGTTTTCATTTCCTGTTAGGTGCAGAAGCTTCTTAATTAAATGTAGTCCCATTTGTTTATCTTTGCTTCTGTTTGCTTGGTCAGCAGCCTTTGATCTATGAAGATGCCTTTAGCTTCAGTGCCTGGTAGAATTCTGCCTATGTTTTTCTCTACCTTAAAAATTTCTGTCTGATATCAAGGTCTTTAACCTATTTTCATTTTACTTGTGTGCATTAGAAAAAGGTCTGAGTTTAATTTTTTTTTTAATTTTTGCTGGTAGCTGACCAGTTTTCCCAGCACCACTTATGAAAGTGTCTTTTCATGCTCTGCTTCATATTTTTAATCTTTATCAAAGATTAGCTGATAATAGACCTGAAGGTCTGCCTCTGGATTTTCTGCTCTACTCCATTGATTTGAGGGTATTCCTTTATTCCAATACCACACTGTTTTAATTACTACCATTTTGTATTATAGTTTGAAGTTGGGGAAAGTGATGCTTCCCATTTTCTTCTTTCCAAGAATTGCTTTAGCTCTTAGGGTGAAGGAAGTAGATTATTGTTCCATATGAATTTCAGGAATGTTTTCATATGAATTTCGAGTGTTTCTATTTCTTTGAAAAATGTCATGGATATCTTTATAGTGATTGCATAGAATCTGTACAATGCTTTGGGTAATATTGCCATTTTGATGATATCAATCCTCTCGATCTATGAACAGGTGATGTGTTACCATTTCCTTGTGTTCTATCTTATGTCTTGAAATATTGAAAAAACGTATTTTTTGTGTTCATATACATCTTACTAGTATTTAGGATAGTGTCTATTATATCCTATTCAACAAACATTATCTAAATTGTTTAATATTTGGTTTTAAATTAAATATATATATGGTCAGATGTATTTAAAAGGTCAGGTGGGGTGGGGGTGCAGTGATACATCAGTGTGTAAGGCATGATTAGCCTTACACATGGTTAGCCTTACACATGGCTAATTCAAGTTTGATCCCTAGCACCCCATATGGTCCCCTGAACTCACCCGGTATGATCCCTTAGTGCACAATAAACTCTGAATAGAGCTGGCTATGTGTCCTTCATCCTCCCCCTAAAATAAAGTCAGCTGTGGATGTGGCTCAGTGGTATAGAGTACATGCTTCAGGTGTTTGAAGCCCTAGGCATTTCCTGGCATCTCACACACATATACACATACAAGTTGACTGATGTTTTCATGACTTACACATTTTTATTTTGGGTCATTTTTAAGATATGAAATAGGTTCTTAGCTGCCATTAAAATCCTGCTTTGTATGTAATATGTTGTGGCATGGATAATTATTCCCAAATAAAGAATGAATGACTGTTGTAATTTGATATTATCACTGTCTTCTTAGTTTTATTGTCAGGGAAGATGATCAAATCTAGGGCTCATATTTGTTTGATAGTTGTTGCAAAGAATCAGCATATGTTGTTATTGCCAGGTGTGACCCAGAGTGGGCTTACTCCTGGGTCTGTGGTTCCTCAAGGCTTATTCTTGGCTCTGTGATGTGGGGATGGAACCAGCACTGGTTGAGTGTATTGGTTTTGAGTTTTTAAGTAAGAATTACAGGTATAAACATATATTAGCATCTGGACACATAGCATGGGAGTGTGGCAATTTTAATAACATGCTAACTGCCATTTGTGTTGAAACAAAAAATATGGAGTAACATAGTTCCAAAATATCTTTTAAAACTTTTTTAATGATATATATTTTTAAACCTTGTTAATATAAATATTTTGTCAATATATACTTTTAAATATATTTATATTTTTAAATCCTCATTTTATGCAATTGGCTTATTCTAATAATCAGAATTATGTTGTTTTATTCTTGTTATTTTGATAACATGTATGAAATTTGTCTAATTTGGTTTCACAGTTTCTATGTTATCTAGGAAGTAATGACTGCTTCTGTAATAACAACAACGACTATCCCTTTGTGAGAAGGGAAAAAAATACTAATGCCACTTTCCCAGAAAATTTTATACAAATTTTTCAATTTGTACAGATACCGCAATTAGACATCTTTTCGTTGCAGTTCAGTTAACTTACATATTGTTATATATTTTAGGATATGTTCAACTTTTACAGTTTGAGAAATGAAGATTTGAACAATTTGTTATAAATATTAGGATTTTTCTTTTGACTTAGAGTATGGGATTAAATCATATTTTTAGTTTGAATTTCCAGGTTAGATGTTGACTCTCTGATGTTTTCATGACTTACACATTTTATTTTGGGTCATTTTTAAGATATGAAATAGGTTCTTAATCATTTGACTCTCTCTAAATATTGTTCCAGAACAGAATCTTGAAATATAATAATACCCACAAACTTTATTTCTTCTAAATTTTTGTTTCTATTTTTTGGGGCTCACCTGGCAGTGCTTGGGGCTTACTCTTGGCTCTGTGCTCAGCAATGATTCCTGCTAGTACTCGTGGAACTGTATGGGGAGCTGGGGGTTGAACCCAGAACAGCCACATGCAAGACAAATGCCCTACTTACTTTACTATCTCCTCCTCCCCCTTCTTTTTCTCTAAAATTTACTATCCTAGTACTGGGCAATACTGATTGAAGTCACAGTTAAAGAATAGTTTAGTCCTTGTTGAATTTGTTTTGAACTAGAAATGGTAGAGGTAATCTGAGAATTGGAAAATAGAGGAATTTGTTTTCAATTTATAAAAGCCAATTCCTCTGTTTTCCAATTCTCTTAATCAGAAGAAATATCAGTACCCTTGTGAAAATGTAAATACAAGACATTTTGTGATAATTTATTTTTTGTTTTTACATTATTTTAGGTTTCCAGTAATTATCTGCAAGATTCGCCATGACCCCAGCGCTAAGAGAAGCAGCAACAAAGGGTATCTGCTTTTCATCTTTGCCAAGCACCATGGAATCTGACAAGATGCTGTGCATGGAAAGTCCAAGAACTGTAGATGAAAAGCTAAAGGGAGACACTTTCTCTCAGATGCTGGGATTTCCAACTCCTGAACCTAATCTTAACACTAATTTTGTGAACTTAAAACACTTTGGCTCCCCTCAGTCTTCAAAGCATTATCAAACAGTTCTTTTAATGAGTTCTAACTCTACCTTAAATAAATACAGTGAGAATTGTAAACAAAAGAAAATAGGGGAACCCAATTGCAATAAGCTGAAAAATATACTGTGTAATGGCAGCAACATTCAGCTCAGTAAAATCTGTCATTCTCATTCTGAAGAGTTCATCAAAAAGGAACCCCTCTCAGATACCACAAGCCAATGCGTGTCAGATGTACATATTATTTTGGATTCAAATATAGCCAAAGACACTAATGTTGATAAAGTACAACTGAAAAACTATAAGTGGTACCAAAAGAATGTACTTTTAGATAAAGTTACTGATGCTGAGATTAAAAAGGGTTTATTACACTGTACCCAAAAGAAAATTGGATCTGGCAACTCAAATGTGCCTACAAGTTCCTCAGCTATTAAAAAAGAAGAAGAAGTGAATGCTCGTTTACTTCATTGTGTAAGTAAACAGAAGATTTTACTTAGCCAGGCTAGAAGAACTCAGAAACATTTGCAGATGCTCCTAGCAAAGCATGTTGTTAAGCACTATGGTCAGCAAATGAAATTTTCTGTGAAACATCAGCTCCCCCAAATGAAGATCTTTCATGAACCTGCCACAATTTTGGAAAACACTTTACCTAAATGCACTGAAATTAAGCCAGAAGTCAATATATTGACTGCAGAGAATAAATTGTGGGATGATACAAAAAATGGCTTTGCACAATGTACTGCTGCAGAAATCCAAAGATTTGCATTGTCTGCTACAGGGCTGTTGTCTCATGTTGAAGAGGGTCTGGATTCTGATGCAACTGATAGCAGTTCCGATGATGATTTGGATGAATATACCATTAGAAAAAATGTGTCAGTGTAAGTGCAAAATTACTATTAGACCTTATATGCATGTAGAAGACTTTTTTCCAAGTTTCTAGATATGTTAAAAAGGAATTTTAAATATATATTTTGATTTTGGGATGGGTGGGTTATGTGGCCCCACCATTCCTGGTGGTCTTCAGGAGACCTCATGGTACGATGAATAAAACTCTAGTGTCCAGTTACCTGCAAGGCAAGCTATCTCTTTGGCCCAGGAATTCTTTCAATGTCATAATCAAATTTATGAAACCAGTGAATTTTAAATATTCACTTAATAGTACTGTAAGAACGTTCTATTTAAAATAATTTACTCAAGAGGCTAGAGAGTTAGTACAGTGGGAAGTACACTTGCCTTGTATGCAGCCAACCCAAGTTCGATCTTTGGCATCCCAAGCATCATCAGGAGTGATTCCTGATTGCATAACACCTGAGCATTGCTGGATGTGGCCTCAGAACCGAAAAAAAAAAAAAAACCCTAAATTACTCAAGTACTGTATCTGGAATGTTTCCATAAAAAAATAATTATAACTAACTAGGTATAACAAGTAATTTTATATTTTGAATAGGATTGGAGTTATAATACAAGGGTTAAGACTCTTACCATGATAGAATAGACCAAAGATAATTAAATTTTTGTTTAAGTGATTCATCTGTTATAACTATTTATAACTCATAACTTTGTGGTCTGTACAGAGGCAACTCTTACTACTTCAGTGATTATATATTTTTTAAAATGTATATTTATCTTTCTATACATATGTCTGTGCTCACTATATTCATATATTCTGGTCTTTACCAAATAGGTCAACTTTTGCTAGGTTAGTATAATAGCAAAAATAAAAAGATACCCATCAGGTGCTTATTATATGCTACCATTTACTTATGGGCAAAGTCCTTGAAAAACTACTTTGGGGAATCTACTTGAAAGATTTAAATATTTTTAGATATCTTTATTTTGGAGTTTGGGAATGGGAATGCTTTATATGTATTTAGATAAATACACGTATGAAATTTGTATGAAACAGCTTTCATGTTACACTAAAAAATAACCTACCAAGAATCAACCATCTACTTTTTAGGTAGTAGTATAAAAATAAGTATCTTTTATTTGGAGAGGAATCAGCATATCGTCTTTAAACAAATTTCCAGGATGAATAAGAATAATTATAGCATTAGGAGCTGAACATATTATTTTAGTAGATAAATTAGCATATTAATTTTTATAATTAGGAATGAAGCATAACACAAAATAAGCATTCAGGTCTTTTGGTATTTTCTTATCAATAAATTTAAAATCTGTTTGAATGCAAAAGTTGGTAATTATTAAGAACAGATATCCACATAACATTATTAATCTTTTCAACAACCAAGAGAGCTAATTGTTTATTATACTTATTTTATTAAGAAGAACCAGGCTCAACATGGTTAAGTAATTTCCCCTAGTAAAATGCCAACTAAGTGGTGGAACTAGTATTCTTGCCCATAAATGTGACACTACTCATGCACTTTCTGTTGAACCATGCAACTTTTACAACATTGTATCATTGATGCTTGTAAGTACATGTTCTGAAAAAAGTTCAGAAGTTTGTTTTTATATTTATAATACTTTGTTACTTTGAAGATAATTCTTTGAAAATAATTATTTACTTTTTTGTTGTTGAATTTAACAGGTTTGTCTCTTTTTAAGTTGATAGGAGAAATAAAATCTATTAATCTATACTTAAAGGGTCATGTAAATTTGTCATTAGATCAAATTTTAACGTATATTAATTTCCAATATATATTTTAAGACTAATGGTAAGAGTATAAACCACATTCTATACTTTAAAAATATTTTATTTATCATGTATATAATGCGAGTAAGTAAAGGCCCTCCCGTTGATCGTCGATTTGCTCGAGCGGGCCCAGTAACGTCTCCATTGGAGACTTTGTTGTTACTGTGTCTGGCATATCGAATACTCTCGGTAGCTTGCCGGGCTCTCCGAGAGGGGCGGAGGAATCGAACTCGAGTCGGCCATGTTGGCTGCGTGCAAGGCAGACACCCTACCCGCAGCTGGAGCGATAGCACAGCGGGTAGGGTGTCTGCCTTGCACGCAGCCAACATGGCCGACCCGAGTTCGATTCCTCCGCCCCTCTCAGCCTGGCAAGCTACTGAGAGTATCTCGCCTGCACGGCAAAGCCTGGCAAGCTCCCCGTGTTGTATTCAATATGCCAAACACAGTAACAAGTCTCACAATGTTACTGGGCCCGCTCGAGCAAATCGATGAACAATGGGAGGACAGTGACAGTGACAGTGACATATATATTACTAGTAATAAATTCATCAAAATGTTTTAATATTTGCAATTACTCTTTGAATTTAGTGGAATTTAGTAGGACAATGCTTACATGGAAATATTTGTATTAAATGTACACAAATGGGAACTTCAAACTTAAGACAGATATTTAGAAAAAGCTTACAGCAGTATACATTCTATTTGGGGTAAATCAAATTTGCTGTTTTCTTGAGAAAAATTGAAATTCATTAGCATGGAAGAAGTGGGCTCAGGTTTGAAAAGTTTCTTACTCCTTTTCTTCTCATAATCAATAGCTTCAGCGATGTGAAACATGCATATTTGGCATGTAATTCCTCTAAGTTTAATATCAGTTCTTTAAAATATATTGCTATCCTCATACATTATTCACCACTTAATATTATGGTGCACTGGTTGGTAGAACCCATGTCTATCTATCTCTCTGTAACTTCAAGTTAAATTTCTTATGAAGTTTAAGTTTTTTATATAGTTAAATCTCATCTTTTTTTTATTTTGCCTAGAAATTTTTTATAATCATTTTATTTATTTATTTTTTTAAATTTTTATTAGTGAGACACCATGAGGTACAGTTGTAGACTTACAAATTTTTGTGCTTGGTTTAAATTATACAATGATCAAATATCCATCCCTCCACCAGTGCCCATTTCCCACCACCACGGATCCCAGTATCCCTCCTACCCCCCCATACCCCCAACCCCCCTGCCTCTGTGGCAGGGAATTCCCTTTTGTTCTCTCTCTCCTATTGGGTGTTGTGGTTTGCAAAAGAGGCAATGGGTGACAATAATGTTTGGTCTGTAGTCTACTTTCAGCATGCTTCTCTCATCCTGGGAGGATCCTCCCAACACCCTTTATTTGGTGTTCCCTTCTCTATCTTAGCTCTGTTTTCCCCTAGCATGTGTGGCTGGCCTCCAAGCCATGGAATAAAATTCCTGGTACTAATCTCAGCCATTCTTGGATGTTAGTCTCCTATTTTATTACTTTACGTTCCCCAGATGAATGCAATCTTTCTACGTCTATCCCTTTCTTTCTGAGTCATTTCGCTTAACATGATACTTTCCATGTGGTACCACTTGTATGTAAATTTCATGACTTCATCTTTTCTAACAGCTACATAGTATTCCATTGTGTAAATGTACCAAAGTTTCTTTAACCAGTCATCTGTTATTGGGCACTCAAGTTTTTTCCAGATTCAGGCTATTGTAAAGAGTGCTGCAGTGAACAAACAAGTGTAGATGTCACTCCGACTATGCTTTTTTGCCTCTCTGGGATATATTCCCAGGAGTGGTATTGCTGGGTCAAATGGGAACTCAGTTTCTAATTTTTTGAGAATCGTCCATACTGTTTTCCAAAAGGGCTGAACCAGTTGGCATTCCCACCAGCAGTGAAGGAGGGTCCCTTTCTCACTACATCCGTGCCAGCACCAGTTGCTTTTGTTCTTGTGGATGTGGGCCAGTCTCTGTGGTGTGAAATGGTATCTCGTTGTGGTTTTGATCTTCATCTCCCTGATGATTAATGATGTGGAGCATTTTCTCATGTGCCTTTTAGCTATTTGCATTTCTTCTTTGAGAAAGTTTCTATTTATTTCATCGCTCCATTTTTTGATGGGGTTGGATGTTTTCTTCTTGTGGAGTTCAACCAGTACTTTGTATATCCTTGATATCACCCTCTTGTCGGATGTGTATTAGGCAAATATTCTTTCCCATTCTCTGGATTGTCTTTGTATTTTGGTCACTGTTTCTTTTGAGGTGCAGAAGCTTCTTAGTTTAAGATAGTCCCATTTGTCTATCTCTGTTTTCACTTGTTTGGCCAGCGGCATGACATCTTTGAAGATACCATTAGCTTCAATGTCATGGAGGGTTTTGCCAACTTTTTCCTCAATGTGCCTGATGGATTTCGGTCTGATGTTGAGGTCTTTAATCCACTTTGATCTTACTTTTGTACATGGTGTTAGGCAGAGATCTGAGCCCACATTTTTGCATGTAGCCATCCAGTTTTGCCAGTACAATTTATTAAAGAGGCTTTCCTTGCTCCACTTCCCTTTTCTTGCCCCCTTATCGAAGATTGGATGGTCATAAAAACTCATCTGTTTAATTCAAACCATAATACTGTGTTTTTCTAACTTTTAATTTATGAGATATTTGATTATTTGGGATTTTTATTTTTTATTTTCAACTATAGTTGACATTTTATATACCTGTTTAAACATTGAGTACAAATTTTATTTTTAAAAATAATATTTTTATTAGTAAAAATAGTAAATATTATTAGTAGTAAAAATATTTTACTAATGCTAAAACATTTTTGTTTCTCAGCATTTTATTAATTTTAGCATTGACTGTACTTGGAAAATCAATGGCACAATTTTAGTTATTGATATGTTTTGATTTGAATACAAAATTATCCTTATTAAAATTAATCAGTTCTAGTTTAGTTGTTGAATTCACTTTATACTTTAAAATATTTATATTGTTGGGGGCAGAGTGATAGTAAAGTGGATAGGGGGATTGGCTTGCAGGCAGCCAACTGGGTTTATTTCCTTTCCTCACACCCTATCTGGTCCCCTCAAGCCCACTAGTAGTGATCCTTGAGCTCAGAGTCAGGAGTAAGTCTTGAGCACTGCCAGGTATGCCACTCCACCCTAAAGTATATTGCTAGTATACGCTTAAGTTTTTTGTTATTTTT